TTCAGGCCATATGGAGCATTTGATAAAAAAATTACGCACACGCGCATGCGCGCGCATTTTCGCGCGTACTGGCATTTTGCAATATAGAATCGCCGAATTTTTTCTGTCATTATATTTGATACATTTTTCCAAGCATTTTGATAACTTGTTCACCTTTTAATAACGCAATGAGCGTCCGTCAAAGTTGACAGCACGCGCAGATCTGCGTTATCTTTATCCACCATACATTGGCAAAAACATGCCTATACAAAATTCATTGTAACTGTTCAGAATGGATGGGAACTCCCAATATGTTTTCATATTTAGATAGATTATGAGTTGGAGATATGATTTCATGTCTCATTTGACCCTCAATTAACTCATGATGTCATCATAATGGCCTCCAAACTCAAAATTTCAATTTGCATATTATGACGTCAGCATATTTTTGGAAAATTAATTGTATCTCTGTAAATATTGATCAATTTTCTTTTAAATTTTGATATGTTCTAGCTGAGACAATTTGCTACAAGTATAGTTGCCTCAATTTTTCATTTTGACTAAGGCATCAAGGCGTACTTTTGCGATTAAAGGAGGCATGTCAATTTTACACATTTTGCGTGTATTCTCTATGGGACATGACTTTTTCTCAAAACTGGATTCTACACTCCTGTCTTTTGCGAGCGAAATCTCCCATATTTTAGCTTTGTTTTCGCTGAGCTTCGAATATGTTGTAGCTGAGACAATAAGCTATCACACGTGTGCCTTTTATATTTCGATCAGATGCCGGGATTATGCTCATATTTCACTTGCAAAGTAGGATTTCTGAATTCCATTTCCCGTTTACGTGTAATTAATCGCTATGGGAGATGTTTTGGTATATCGGTAACGCACTTGACTTCCAACCTCGAGATCCCTGGTTCGATTCCGGGTGTCTCCAACACTTTTTTTTTTCACTTTTTTTTCCTTTTGACCTTCACTGTACCATCTCCTTTGATTATTTAAACACGTAGATTCGCAAATAATGTCATAAATAACCCTTTTTACTTTATTATTACCCTATTTTCACTTAATCCATTACTTTTTGCGTGTAATCCCTATGGGAGATGACTTTTTTTTTCAAATCTGGATTCTACATTCCTGTCTTTTGCGAGCAATATCGCCGTTATTTCGGCTTGGATTTTGTTGATTTTTGAGTATGTTGTAGCTGAGACTATATGCTATCTAAATCAACCCTTTTTTTTCAATAAGATGTCATGATCGCGCTTATGATCATGATCATGATCATCATGATCATCATTATCATAATGATGATAATCATTTATCAATTACATTTTCATTTCTTTGAATAAGATAAAAATCGTCAAAAGGTGTTCTTCATGATGTAAATTAGAGTCAAATGTGTAACTGGTTACTGCACAGGGTCAAAGGTCATATATTGTTTCAATCTATCTTCCCTAGATCCATGATGATCAAGGAGACACAATTTAATCTTGACATATGAATAGATCATAATGGGAGAAGCATATAAATGGGAGAAGCATTTTACAAAATAATATATCGTGTAATGCATTATTCGCTATGTAAACCACTATCATACGTATCACCTAATTCGTCTAAGTGACGAATTAAAGTCTAGTATTTATTTTGTGTCTGTATAGAAGAAATAATTATTATTCTTTCTCAATTTTGTTCGCAGGATATCTCAAGAATGGCTAAAGCCATTATCATGAAAATTGCTATGATGATAGATCTTAGTCTAACTTAGAACTGCGTGACTTTTCATAGACTCAACATCATCGTGACGTCATCTAGGCGCCATTTTGTGAAAATCAACTTATGATCATATCTTCATAACCGAAAGTAATCTTTCATTCATATTTATCACGATTAAGATCAATATCCGTCCGGTCAATTTCAGGTCAAAAAAACGTGCGCAAATGCACGCGTGCGCGCTCGTCCGCGGTTTACGCGCGCGCAAAAATTTAAAATGCTCTAAATCATCCCAATTTTTTTTTGCATACGTTTCAGGCCATATAGAGCATTTTATAAAAAAATCGCGCGCACACGCATGCCCGCGTTTTTGGCGCGTACTAGCATTTTGCAACATAGAATCGCGGAATTTTCTTTATCATCATATTTGGCACATTTTTCCAAGCATTTTGATAACTTGTTCATCTTTTAATAACGCAATGAGCGTCCGCCAATGTTGACAGCGCGCGCGGATCTGCGTTATCTTTATCCACAATATATGCGCAAAATCATGCCTATACAAAATTCATTGTAACTCTTTAGAATAAATAGGAACTCCCAATATTTTTTTCATATTTAGATAGATTATGAGTCGGAGATATGATTTCATGTCTCATTTTACCATCAATTAACTCATGATGTCATCATAATGGCCTCCGAACTCAAAATTTAAATTTGCATATTATGACGTTTGCATATTTTTGAAAAATTGATTGTGTCTCTGTAAATATTGATTAATTTTCTTTCAAATTTCGATATGTTCTAGCTGAAACAATTCTCTACAAATAAGTGCCCACAATTTTTCATTTTGACAAAGGCATCATGGCGTATTTTTTCGATTAAAGGAGGCATGTCAATTTTGCACATTTTGCGTGTATTCTCTATGGGACATGACTTTTTCTCAAAACTGGATTCTACCTTCCTGTCTTTCACGAGCAAAATCTCCGTTGTCTTAGCTTAGTTTTTGCTGAGTTTCGAATATGTTGTAGCTGAGACAATAATCTATCACACGTGTGCCTTTTATTTTTGATCAGATGCCGGGATTATGCTCATATTTCACTTGCAAAGTAGGATTTGAGAATTCCATTTCCCGTTTACGTGTAATCGCTATGGGAAATGTTTTGGTATATCGGTAACGCACTTGACTTCCATCCTCGAGATCCATGGTTTGAGTCTGAGTGTCTCCAACAATATTTGTCTTCATTTTATTTTTTGACCTTTCACTGTACCATCTCCTTTGAGTATTAAAACACGTAGAATCGCAAATAATGTAATAAATAACCCTATTTTCTTTATTATTACCCTATTTTCACTTAATCCATTACTTTTTGCTTTTAATCCCTATGGGAGATGACTTTTTCTCAAATCTGGATTCTACATTCCTGTGTTTTGAGCAATATCGCCGATATTTCTGCTTGGATTTTGTTGATTTTTGAGTATGTTGTAGCTGAGACAAGTTTCCACGAGATTTATGTAGACTATCTAACATTATCATGACGTTATCATAGTCAAAAATTCAATCATAGGTGACATGTCAATTATCATATATAACAATCCTCAATCAGATACCTGAAGGGGGCGCTATACCACTTTTAATCATGGTCATCTGAAAGGCATTGTTCTCAATTGCATCTCTCTCTCTCCTCTCTCTTGCTCTTTTACTTCTCCTCTCATGTTCTGCCCCTCTCCTTTTTTGGTCTGTCTCTGCATCTATCTATCTCTCTTCTCTTTCACCCTCTCCCTCTCTCTCTCTCTCTCTTGCCTTGCGTCCCTCTTATTCTCTTGGTCTGTCTCCCTCTGCCCTACAGTTGAAACTTGACTCATGGATAGACCATAATGGAAGTAGTAAACGAAATATGAAATCGTAAAAATGCGTTCTTTATTATGTTACACATGAGCATACGTATCACCTAATTCGTCAAAGTGACGAATTAAAGTCTAGTTTGTTTTAGTTCTCTTATGGTATGTTGTTTATATAATGTCTTTGTTTTCTACAATGTATTCTATTTTTTGTAAATCTTTGTATGTACAGGGCTCTTTTGTAAAGCAGGCCTCTGGCACTAAAAAGACTACCCTGTTTTTAAATAAAACTGAATAAATAAATAAATAAATAATTCTATATCTCTCTCTTTCTATCAAGCTTGCTCTCCTTCTTACAGGCCTATCTACAAGTCATCTACCTATCATTCTGTTCTTCATTTCATCTCTTTCTTTCACCCCCGCTCTCTCTCTCTCTCTCTCCCCTCCTCATTCTCTCTCTCTCTCTCTCTTTCTCCCCTCCCCTCTCCCCCTCTCTCTCACTTTTTCTTTCCTTCTCCCTTCCTCTCTCTCTCTCCCCTCTCCTCTCTTTCTCCCTCACCCCCTCACTCCCTTTCTCTCTCCCCCTTATCTCTCTTTCTCTCTCATTCTCTCAACATCTCACTGTCTTCCATCTGTCTCGTCTCCAACAACTCTCTGCATGATATGAAATGTGTATGTTATCGTTAATGAAGTGTTTATCCACGATAACGGTCGACATAATGATTATTGAAGGGCTTGGTATCTATGTTTACATGCCTAAGTGCACCAGCTTGTAAACATTATCAGGCTGTATTCATTTCCTACAAGAGGTACCAACAATTTGATTGATATAGTTCGTTTAGTTCTAACTATTTAAATTATGCCTCAATATCGTTGTTTTTCTTTCTCTCCTTTTTGCCTCGTCTCTCACTTTCTCCCTCTCTCTCTCTCTCTCTCTCTTTCTCTCCCATATATTATTGTATGAATATGATGTACGTAAAGATTCATAAGACATTTTGTTTGTTGGTGATTTTACTTTGTAAACTCCGTGTAATTCAGCCCTTGGGCTGCCATAATTTATGTGTTGTTTAAATAAATACCATTTTAATTCATTTCAATACAATTCATTATACTCAATGTGTATATCTACCAGGTAGAATAGACTGGAAAAGGTATATACTTGACTAATCCTCACTTCACCTGTCGAAGCAAAAGATGGTAGAGAGTTAGTCAAGGCCTACGTAATATTCTTATACCAGAGCCAGCTCATCATTATTCTTGTGGTGAAATGATAATCGACTATTATCTTACCGTATGAATAATTGATATCATATTCTCCTTCCAAATCTCGCTCTCCCTTTCTCTTCTCTCACTTTCTCTCTCTCTCTTTCTCTCTCTCTCTCTCTCTACCCCTCTTCCTTCTCTATCTCCTCCTCTTCATCTTCCTCCCCCTCCACTTTCCTCTACCTTCTACATTATTTTGACTACAGAGGGCGTTTCCTAGATACGAGTCTGCGTTGAATCTGATGTCTGATATTGGTGATCGCTATGGTCAGATAATCGTTCTTGCCGGGATGACCAAAGCATTGATTCATATGAAGCAACCTGAGAAGGTAATGAACTTTCAGTTTAATCAGAAATTTTGCACCCCCCCCCCCCCTTACCGCCATCAAGCATTAGTTATTGTCAAGCCAGTCCCAAAGACTCATCATTGTCCTCCTCCCCCTCCCCTCCTTGCACTTCTCCCCCATCTACTGTTTAGGCCATCTCCTCTCCCCGCTCCTCCTTCACCTCTTCATACCTCCCTCTTCCTCTACTCTTTCGCCCTTCCATATTTCTTCTTTCTACTTTTCCTTGTTTCCTTCTTGCTTTTACTCTTTTCTCCTCCCTATCTTCCTCTTCTTCCATCTATTCCTCCTCCTTATTTCCTATCCCCGTTCCCCATCTTCTCCTCCTCCCCATCTTAACTTCTTCCTCCTCCCCCAATTCCTTCCTCTCTCCACCCCACCTATCTCCTGCTACTTCTTTTCCTTCTCCCCTTTCTCCTCATGATTTTCCTCGTCATAGCTTCAAAATGAACCAAATAAAAGAAACCATCAGTTTTGGTGGTCGAAAAGCTATAACAAAATCTTGTCTGACTTACTGAAATCTACCTCTGCTGTTATCACATGTCGTTTAGACCCAAACCAGGACCCTGTGTCATAAAACCTGTTGCCAATAACAACTGGCGCAGATCTATGACAAATCTGCTCATAGCCAATCAAATGCAAGGAAGTGTCGTGGTCGAGTGGTTTAAGGCGCTTGACTTGGAGATGCGAAGGTCGAGGGTTCGAATCCCGACACGGCACTAATATCCTTTGGCAAGATATTAACCTGCACTTGCTACTCTCCACCCAGGTGTTAAATGGGTACCCGGTAGGATGCGACCGTCATTGTTGGTCGACAGTTTTTGAGCGTCATTTAACGTCTGGCTGGAATGCTCCCCAGGGAGTGGAGATTGTGCACACATTGTGTGCGGACAAGCACTGAATCCAATGACCGGGGTAATAGTATATTTGTAAAGCGCTTAGAGACATTTGTATGAAGCGCTATATGAAAATTAAATATTATTATTATCATTATTAAGGATTTCAGTAGCTTATAACAAAGATTGTATCTTATTACGGGTAACAGGTTTTATGAAATAGGGGCCTGATCCACCAGCTTGACCATTAACAGAATTACATTTTCATGTATCACTTCTCTACTTCATCTCCTAGACAGTGTCAGTTTGATATCAGTGCACGATCAATTTAATTCATTTTAATGTGTATGTCTTATTTTTTAAATCAACAGGCAATAGACTTCTGCAACAAAGCAATGGAAGTAGCAACTAGTATTGGCAATAAGGTACGTCTAAAACATCATTTAGCGTAAAATGATGCACAAAATATATTCCAAATATCTTTGCAGCCCTTGCAAATGACGGTTTAAAAAGCTCATTCATCGTCCTTCGGATATTGACATTTTAACATTATTTTGTATACGTATTTTGTTATCATAGATTGCACAATATACCATGGTCCCTACTTATATTTTGTTCGCGTTCTACATTATTAATTATCACAAATACTTCAAGTTGTCATTGATAGTAGTCACATACTGTTTTGTAACTCCCCGAGGTTTTTTTTCTTTTTCACTTTACGATCTCACTAGAAATAACTATACAATCAAACATTCAGGTTGTACAATAAATATCGGCGATTTAGTATGAATAATCAATACAAAAATAAACTGGGTTGTCAAAAGGGCATACGAAACTCACCTTAGGTTAATCGCCGTCAGCAAAAAGTTAAAAATAAATGGATCAAACCAAATCGGCATCCACGGCGAAGTCAAGAATGATGATGCTGACGATGGCATGGGGGTGACGAAGACCACGCTGACGGCAATGACGATGAGGGTAATGATGATGTCGGCGATGACGGTGATGATGTCGTTGGTGTCGGTGACGTTGTTGATGAAACAATCAATAGACTAATTATATGATGAAGTCGATGACAATGAAGGTGATGTAGTGATGACGATGACGATATAATCAACAAGTCATCACAACACAACGAGTGACGGCGATTGGAAAGACAGATTTGAGAATACGGCAAGATGAAGATAAAATGAGGACTCAATCAATGAGAGATTTTAAAAAATTGCCGTTAAAGTTGTCAAAAATAAATCTCGCGAAATGCAGGTCGTGGTGCAATCAAGTCCACCGCCAGAGGTTGCCGGGACAAAGTCGTTCGAGTCCTCGGACGAAAATTCGACCATCAGGATATGATAAACACAACACAGTATAAACAGTCAGAGTGTACCGATACAAGGAATAACCGTCTGGTGCTCACGTGGTGAGAAGAGCCCAATGCCCAAATCACCACAGCGGCGTGATTGGTTGAAAGTAATCTAAGACACGCGTATACATATTAATATGTTAGTATACGCGCTGTACTAACAATGGCAAATCTGCGTCACAAAAGAATATATTAATAAACCAGACAGAACCGGTTTGAACATGTTTGCAAAGCCAGACAGGCAGAGTCGGAAAAAACGCAAGAGAAATTAGGTCTCCTTAGTCGCCATTTTGAAAATGGAAAGGCAATACATATATTAAATATGTACATACGAATCAATGCATACAGCTTTTAAAAAGTTATTACCCATGCTAAACTAAAGTAATGTACAATTTAAGCAAAAGTTTAAAAAAAACGTGACATTTGGTCACTACAGTTCAAATCGATTCATATCTTAGTTGTGCATGCTGAGGCCGGTCTAAATCGACATTGATAACACGATTCAATAATTAATGATTTATCTTTGTTGTAGATGTGCATGCTGCGATCGAACTGGACCCTTCATACGCTGTACAGAGCCATTGGAGATATGACGTCATCGCAGCAACACGCCTGCAAGTTTGACCAGTACTTACAAGAGATGGAGCTCTACTGTGGTGTGTGTCACGAGGTGATGGGCAACAGAGAGAACAGTCTCAATAGTCTCACGTGCTTCCACATATTTCATTCAAGGTTTGTTAGAAGGGTGTGTCTGTAGGGGTGGGGCTCTACTGTGGTGTGTGTCACGAGGTGATGGGCAACAGAGAGAACAGTCTCAATAGTCTCACGTGCTTCCACATATTTCATTCAAGGTTTGTTAGAAGGGTGTGTCTGTAGGGGTGGGGCTCTACTGTTGTGTGTGTCACGAGGTGATGGGCAACAGAGAGAACAGTCTCAATAGTCTCACGTGCTTCCACATATTTCATTCAAGGTTTGTTAGAAGGGTGTGTCCGTAGGGGTGTGTCCGTAGGGGTGTGTCCGTAGGGGTGGGGTGGGGGTTGTGAGCTGTTGGAAGCCAGGGAGGGGCTCTACTGTTGTGTGTGCCACGAGGTGATGGGCAACAGAGAGAACAGTTTCAATAGTCTCATGTGCTTCCACATATTTCATTCAAGGTTTGTTGAAAGAGTGTGTGTTCGTAGTGGGTGGTTGTTATAGGTGGGGAGTGGGTAGGGAGGGGTGAGGATGTGAGCTGTTGGACGCTTTGGAGGGGAGGGAAGGCGGTGATTGGGATGTTATAGTATTTTGTTCTTTAGGGTGGTGATAATGGTGATGGTAGTATAAGACTATTGGTAGTAGTCATGATTAAGAAGGACTTGCTATTTGTTATGAGAATGTAGATGTTGCTGATGAATGTGTTGTTGTTGGTGGTGATGATGATGGTGGGGGTTGCGATGGTGGTGGTTATTATGTTGCAATTGGTATTCTATTGTTGCAACAGCTCTATTGTTATCACTTAGCCAAGAAACTCTAACAAGTCATTTCTTCTTTCTTTTTGTTTCCTTTCTATCATGGCATTCTGCAGGTGCGTGGAGAATAGCACATTCAAGACGAGAGGCTGTCCAAACTGCAAGAAGACTTCCCACCTCTCATCGCCGGTACCAGTATAGCATCATCCAACAGGGCTCTGCACCCCTCAGAGAGGTGTAAAGATCACCCCCCCCCCCCTCTTCCACCACTCTCACTTCTACTACTATCTCTTATAGTAAACTGTGTTAGCAATCGTCACTTTGGTGGATCTCTTGAAGAAGACTTTGCACCTTTCCTCCACGGTTACGGTGTGGCATCATCTACGGTTACGGTGTGGCATCATCTACGGTTACGGTGTGGCATCATCTACGGTTACGGTGTAGCATCATCCGACAATCCAGGAGTCCCTCAGAGGGGTGTAAAGTTTACCCCCCCCCCCCTCATCTAAGACCACCACCATCACTACTACCCCTCCGTGACCATCCCTAAACTGCGTTGATGGGACTTTTGATCCACCAACGGTGTGCTTTTACAGGACATTGCTTCGAAAATGCATTTTTAGCTTGAGATGATTGAAAATTTTAAGTAAATAAAGTGTTAATGATGAAAGTGTAGGCCTATTGACTTTGATATATACCTTGAAACAACTGGGAATGAATACCATAATGCAATGATGATGAAAAAGTTATCCATTATGGTTTTGCACATAACAAAATTATTTAAAATGTCAACGAGCACATTAGCCTGACGTTTGCTCCTTTCGCCATTATAGACTCAAATGACATAAGAACGAATTGCACAATGTTAGTGCACCTTCTCTTAAGAGGGAAAAAATCGATAAAATACAATGTTTTTTCGTAAAGATATACTCACTGCGCCCTGTGCCCCTGTTGCATAAAATTTACTATTGATGGTAAACTTTGCCATCAATGTCAACTACCATGGTAACAGGGCTCAACAGCCAATAGAAATCAAGGTTTTCATGGTAGTTACCATTGGTGGCAAAGTTACCATCAATGATAAGTTTTGTGCAACGGGGTCCAGGACTTGAACCCTAAACTTCTCGACTGGAAGTCAACTGCATGAAACAGTAGGCCTACACAAAACTACACAACAATGCTAGTACAGAATAAATTTCCCTTTACTTTGTGAATCTTGAGATATCAATATGGAATCATTCTTGGTGGGCTCTAAAGCCTCTCCAACATTTATAAATATGCTTGGGAAAGGGGGTGGGGGTATCGTACCCCAAAAAGGAAAAACAAGAATTCAGCTTGATTATAAATATACCCGTCAGATATGATAATTATTACTTCATGCATTTCGTATTTGCACGATGCACAAACCTATGCTACTGAATATTTTTGCCGCCGTTTAAATTTGTAAATAGACAAAGCGATATTAACATTTTATTTACATTTGTTTGATATGACTTGTAAAATAAAGCTATGTATTTAGTGTAAATCATGAGAACATATTTTATACGCAATTGTATTACTACTATTGTTATTATTATGCAAAGTATTATCGAAAGTGCTATGTACAAAAAAGAAATAAGCTAGATCATCTATAAGGTGACATAAAATTAATGTATGCGTAATGTTGCTTATAGCTAGGCATGATTGTTGAGGCTTTATGCTTTATGTTTAACTCTTTCAGCACAATATTTATTTCTCGGGCCAAATTGATCACATAATATTCTTTAAATTGGCAACAAAATTTTTTATTTTTTTTATTGCTACATTGTTAAAATGAACTGAAATGAGTCGGAAATCAATATACATGGGCGCAAATTTTGGTCGGAAAACAATAACATTAATTCTCTCAACGTGTTACTGATTTAGGGATTTTAAAGCGATTTTTTTTTCTATAAAGTCCTGGCATGAAACGCATTATAGTAGTGAAATAAGAAAAATAATGGATGCAGTGTACGCAGAAACTGTAAATCAAATATAGAACCAAACTTTGAACTTGTTAGTGATAATAACTTTTATGATGTGGGGTCTGGAGTCGTATCGTTTTAGTGTTATCAATTCTGTTGGTATGTTTCCATAGGCTTCAATGTCGCCGATAAAATTGCGGTTCTTTATTTTTCCCACTTGACTATGTTGTTTAGAATACTTCAAATGTAAGAACGGACAGTGTTCGAAGTTATGTATTTTTTTCTCTTTCGTGTATTTCAATTGCTATTTTTTTCTTTCTTGTATGCCTTGTCTCCATGTTTTACAAACAATTTTTTCTTCTTCTGTAGAACGTATGTATTTTATCTTAAGAAAAGTGTATTTTTTCTTTAGAACATATCATTTCAGTATTGGCATGATTACAAACTCGCACCACTCACGACCTCGTACTTATAAGTTCAGAATTTCTTGTTTTTCAATACGCATGTACACGCCCGCCATTGGGATGTTGTTGTTTTTTGGTAAAACTTATCATTTGTATTCAATATTGTGTCAAAGCTTGCATGTTTAGATTATTATCAAAGACGAAAGAAATGAGAAGGCGGATATCTGAAATGGGGAAGGAAAATGATAAGTGTTGTTTTATTAAAGCCACGTAAGCTCACTCTAATACGTCGTTTTCGTAATGTAACCAAATTTATTTATACCTCGATACGAATTATATCATTCACCTGTTACGAATAATTGTATTTCAAAAGTCAGAATGCACATTTCATATATTACATGTTGCTAGGTAGGGCAAGTTATAATGTTTGTCCTACCTACCAACAACTAATGTATGCTTTTTGAATTCAGACTATTGAGATACATTTATTCGTAACGCGGGGTGAGTGAAATAATTCGTATCGAGGCGCTAGGCGCTTCAAAAAGGCATTTTTATAAATTTGTTTACATTATGAAACTAGCCTATTGGCAAACCTATATATTTATTTTCTTCAACTCTATTTTCTTTTTAATTTGGTTTGTTTACTTTTAACATTTCATTCTTATTTTGTTATCATTGTTATTCTTGTTATTCTTATTTATTAATAGGGGAGGGTTGCGGAGATTTATTGTTTTCAAAACTTCTTTTCATCGTAACAAGACTATTGTAGCCTGTTTCATGACACCCCTCCCCATAATGTCTTCTGTGTATTCAGAATTTCCTTTTATCAAATAACACGATTGCAAATACTTTTGACAAAATCAAGCGCCATTTTAATACCCTTGCCAAAGGATATTAGTGACGCGGCTGGGACTCGAACCACGAACCATGAGATCCACAATCCGGCGACGTATCCACTGGACCACGACACCTTTACATAATGATTGACTTGGCCATTAAAGTTGCCTTGGCTTAATTTCTCATAGGTCTTTGCGACCGTGTTATTTATTGCGCCTATAAACGGCAAACATTTGTTTTATTTGAGTATGTATGAGATAAGTATATGTCATGGATTAGAGAAGGATGATTCTATCCGAGGAGTGATATACTGAATAGATTTCTTTGAACAAAATGTCATATCTTGCCAAATTCATAATTGAGCGATTGGAGAAGAGGTATATATATTTTTGTGCACCGTTTTGCTAAAACAGTATATGTATCAAGAATTATATATGTATTTTATTTGCGCTTTGCTAGTTGCCAATTAAGATACTGGACGATAAGCACTGATTGATTAACAGTATAAAATACGACCAATAATGAAGATAATTAAATAATCAACATGGATTAGCCATTAACTGATGAATGCAGTTATATCTATTATATTACATGTCTTCTCTAAAGGATTTTAGTATCGTGCACAATCACTACTATAAAGAGAAAATGAGATACACAGCAAAGGGTAGACTAATCTATTGGTTCCGAAACTAATTTTCTTTAAGTAATCTCCCTCCAAAACATCTCATACTTCTGGTACCGGCTTTATACAAATCTACTGGATTGAATCCAAGTTCAGATGGCACTCTAATTATATCGAATCTTACTCTATTAGTTTCAAAACTGTTTGGAATTGCATAAAGACATAGCTTAAATCCTGTATCAAAACCTTTAAGAGAGGTGTCGCAAAACAATGCATAATTTATTGCAAATTTCGAAATCTTGGCAATACTAACATTATTTTGCCCTGCTGCGCCAATGTGAAACGCTACCTATTGCGTAATTTATTGTCATCAATTTCCCGCCAATATGTCTCTATTGATACCGATTGTTGTACCCGACTGAATATGTATTACCATGCCTGATTGTCTGTTCCGACGCAAAATTGATTACTTTTTTTGTACCATAGATATTAAAATGTACTTGTATTATTTATTTGTAACTCGTTGCCGAGGATTGGCATTTGTAAATCTCACTGAAAATAAGATTCAACAGCACAATGTCGTTAAGAATTAATAAACTGAATACTGTAAAACAAAAGATTGATGTAGCTTGTCATTTATTATGCGTCATTGCTCTGCATGAAATTGATTTGGGGCTGCTAGGCTACGGCCTAGGATAACGACAGCCCTCGAGAACTTCAGCGGACGAGACTGACAGCCCATTAAACCAGGTAGTCGGTCCGTGGTCATTTTCAAATGTTATCTGAGGGTAAAGTCGCGAGAATGAAATATCTGTCTCGTGGGCCTCTCCGAAACTTCCCGGAAACTTCTCTGAGGTCATATATACTAGACCGTTATAGTGTCTCGTTCTTGCGTTCTCGTGGGCTAGACGGTCTACTGACCAGGGGTGTCTCTATTGATAATCGATATGCCCAATAACCAATGAGTTTGTAATATTATCATGATTGTTGGTGTTTATCCTTATAGGTATCATCAACGCAGCAACCACTTTTGTGGGTCGTTGCCCTGACGAAAGCAAGTGTTTTAAGGGTTTCGCATGGACGGTAATCTTAACGGCAATTGCAGTCTAAAGAAATTTGGACGATTTGCGCTGCATCATCAGCAACAGCGGTTTTTGATGTTGCAAAGAGTTCGAACAACTGAAATACATGTCTGCCCACAACATAATTACACGAACTCGTCTATGCTGGTCTTGCTGCAGACTGCTGCCACTCGTTGTTCATGTTTGCTAGCAACACTACAACCAAACACTATAGTTTTTCAAGTGACTTGTAGATTGTAGTCGGTCTTCGTACACGTCTGTCTGCAACATAACCGTTAGCGACAAGAAGCACGTCTCTTTTGGTTCTGCCAAGTTTTGTCTGTTTGAATGCTTGCATGCAACACAATTGCAACAAAACTTCATCTGATGGTGTAGTAAATAGATTGTTTTCAGTCGGTATGACTGCAACAAGTAGCAACATACCCTTCTTTCCTCAAGACGTAGTTTGCTACCACATTACCATGTAGTCTTTGTACATGTCGGTTCTAGGACAATTACCCCCTGGGCAATCACCCCCCGGAAAATCACCCCCCGGAAAACTACCCCCCAAGGACAATTACCCCCCGGAAAATTACCCCCCGGAGAATTACCCCCCGAGGACAATAACCCCCCAAGGACAATTACCCCCCGGAAAATTACCCCCAAGGACAATTACCCCCCGGAAAATTACCCCCCGAGGACAACTACCCCCGAGGACAATTACCCCCCGAGGACAACTACCCCCGAGGACAATTACCCCCGAGGACAATTACCCCCCAAGGACAATTACCCCCCGGAAAACTACCCCTTGAGGAATTACCCCCCGAGGATGACCCCCCCCCCCCCCCCGAGGACAATCAGGATTCAATAGCAAAAGACGATATGACACGTTGAGAGATGCTGTGAAGGCTACGAGCCCATAAAATCCCGTGCATGAACCCACATTCGTTCAAATACTTGCGCGTGATCTTCTTTAACTATAATGTATGCAACACCACTGTGGTTGCTGTTTTCTACGAAGGATTTCTCTTGTGCAGCGTTATTTCAGATTTTTGTTAGACACAGTGCCCTCTTAATTGAAAAGTTTCGCCCAATCTTAAATTCTTCACAAACTATTTATTTTGCATCACTCTGGCACTCGTCAAGTGCTATGTACACACGTATGGGCATATTTGTTTCTTGATTTAGTGAACGAGCAAGAAAAAAAAAAGGACAAGAACTTTTTCAAAATATTAAAACATAATGTTGTAATCAACACACTAGCAAAGACTTAAGGTATGCGGGCGCCTCACCGCCAAATGTACACGAATATAAAGTGAAATATTCGGTCATGACCTTGATTCACGAATATGAGGACATTCGGGCCTCTCGTTGCCTTGATTCATCATGTTTATAATTGTGATGAGTGTGATAACAATGTAATGTCGAAATACAAGATATATATTCGCAAAAAATTGTCAGCGAGCGAGGAAGAAAGATATTTTATTATTTGTTTACATTTTATTTTCTCATGAAAATAAATACTCTACCCGTTTCTGATATTTGTTTTTCACAAAATCAACGTTTGCCAAAAAATGTTGTCATGTAACTAGTAACATTCTCTTGCGGCACCCCAGTTGAAAAAACGCTGCTCTGGAATTACAAAATCATTGAGATGAATGTACCTAAGTGCGGATACTTATTTTCTTTTAATATGGCACCGAACATACCATATATTTAACTTGAAGGCAATTTTGATTTCAAAATAAATTACAGTACAAGAAAACATATTTTAGTTCACCATGACAACAGAAATATATATATATACATGTATATAAATATTACAGGATGAGGGCCCATTATACATACAAAGACAAATATACGATCAGCTGATTAGAAAAGTTACGAAGGATGTATAAATAATGATATCTTACGTCCTAATTTCTTTGTTGGGCCATTTTGGGGGAGACTAGCTGTATTAACGCGTACTCATCTGCGCGCAATGTATTGTTAAATTTCTAAGAAATGTAAATTCCGTACTTTGATTTGATACATGCATCTTCTGGCAATTGAATTTGATTTGATACATGTGTCTTCTGGCAATTGAATTTGACTCAATACACGCGGCATATTAAGTCAAACTACACAAAGATGGAATGGATACAGAGCGAGAGGGGTGGGTGAAAGCTCCTCCTAGGAGGATACATGTACGTTAAGCAAAAAGATTTGGCAGATGGGTACGAGGGCTTTGAATGTGAGCTACTAATATAAATATAATTATTGAAAACATGTTTATACACAACCCCTGTACGAAATAAATCTATTCCGTCATAAATAACTAAGAAAATGAAAGTTCATGACATTTTCTCTAAATAGCAATTTGAAGAGGAGCTCGCATTATACGTCACAGTGTTGCAAATTCCCTGGGTGTGATTTTCCTCGGGGGTAATGGTGTTTTGAGGAGGGTAATTGTCCTCGGGGGTAGTTGTCCTCGGGGGTAGTTGTCCTTGGGGGGTAATTTTCCTCGGGGTAATTGTCCTTGGGGGTAATTGTCCTCGGGGGGGTAATTGTCCTCGGGGGTAGTTGTCCTCGGGGGGTAATTCTCCGGGGGGTAATTTCCCGGGGGGTAATTGTCCTTGGGGGTAATTGTTCTCGGGGGGTAATTCTCCGGGGGGTAATTTTCCGGGGGGTTATTGTCCTTGGGGGGTAATTGTCCTCGGGGGGAATTCTCCGGGGGGTAAATTTCCAGGGGGTAATTGTCCTTGGGGGGTAGTTTTCCGGGGGGTAATTTTCCGGGGGGTGATTGCCCAGGGGGTAATTGTCCTGATACGGTACATGTCTTCCTTGTAACTTGGCGCCAACAAATCGCTTTCTTCCGATAACACTGACGATTGCTGTCAGTCTTTGTGCGTAAGTGTCTGCAACATCAATGACAACGAACTCTTCTCTGAAAATGGTTGGTGCAAAGCATGCTCAATCTTTGAAAATGTCTGTCTGCACTCTGCAACAAGATGGCACAAAAACCAAACTCTTCTGACCATATTACACTACTCTTTCAGTGATATCAGGAATAAAAGTTGCCAGTGTTTGTCCCCTGGATGTCTGCAACATGACGGCAACAAACTCGTCTCTCTCCACATACTTTGTAGAAAGTTGTACTCATTCTTTGTACATGTTTGTCTGCAACATGACGGCAACAAACTCGTCTCTGCTGAGAGTGTTGTCACCACTGTTGCTGGCTTCTTCGATCATCTCTTTGATCATACTGTCGCTGACTTTGACTCCGACTTCCTTAGCAACCAACTTGAGGTCATCGGTTGTCAAGCACCCTTTCTTTCCTGTATAAAGGATTGGAAGACATCAATGAAAACGTAAATGAGGTATGGAATGTATATCTATATCAAACATGAAAGCTTAAAATTAAACAAAATTATTTTGCAAAGTTTTGTGAAAATTCCAATCCCTCCCCCCCCCCCCCTCCCTCTCTCTCTCTATCTTTCTCTATGTATGTGTGTCTGTCTCTTTCTCTCCGTCACTGTCTCTGCCTTCCTCTCCCTTTTTCCCTTTATTTAATTCTCTCTCTCTCTCTCCCTCTCTCCCCTCCCTCTCTCTCTCTCTCTCTCTCTGTTGTGGTTTATGTCTTTGTTTGATGTCTTTGTTTGATGTCTATGTTGATATTTCAATCTATCTCTTGATACTGTAGCTAATCTCTTACTTCTTATGTCTTCTCTTTTCAATCTCATTGCATGTCCAATTTACCGATCTTTCCCCATCTTCTTTCTCTCCTAAATACATCCTCAAATCACAAACCCTTCTCAGAATCTCGCTCATCATTAGTGTACCCCTTTAAAAACAGCACTCGTGCTGGTAAGGGTGTACCATCCCACAAGTGCTTAACAAATAGATAAAACCAATCAATCAATGAATAAAATAAAATCATAACCGACTTATGGCCCCATGGAAGACCACTACTTATTGGTGAATGGGCTACCCTGACAAAAGATTAGAAATAAATACAAAATAAAAATGAAACTTCAACTTCAACTTTGCTCACCGTAGTCCATCATGTCGAAGCCCTGGTGTATCTCACCGTAGATATCCCTTGAGTCGCCCTGCCGGTGAGCGACCAGCTCAACGAAGTCTGAGAAACTCACCTCACTGTCGTTGCCATGACGAGAAGAAATAAAGAAAAACACAAATCAGTCTACTGGGTATACAAAAATCGAACTGATCTTACTTTTTAAAGGCATAATAGGCCTCACAGGATATAATTATAATAATACAAAATATTGGATATTTATATAGCGCACATATCTACCATGAATGGTGCTCAAGGCGCTCCAACTATTACTCCGGCTCTGCTAGGCAGCCGATTTCGGCGCTCACAGCATTCAAGGAATTCTTTCCTACCGGTACCCATTTAACACCTGGGTGGAGAGTGGCAAATGTAGATTTATATCTTTCCGAAGGATATTAGTGCCGTGGCGGGACTCGAACCGCAGACACTGTGATCCACAGTTCAACGAGTTATCCACTAGAACACAACACCTCTAGATATAAGACCAATTATGCACAGGAAGTTCCTGTTAATTAATCTACACAGGTTTAAATAACGGAAATCCACTTGGACTCAACTTACAAACACAATTGAATTGAATTTACTTTGAATAGAATTTGCTCACCATTTTAAAGCAAACCATGCAAAGGTCAATGAATACAATACAATATGTTCTCACAGATATAGATTAGACAATAAAATGGAAAATACAAGGATACAACAGAGTGTTTGGATTATCAAAAAGTTACAGAATATTGTCGACAGATGAACCTATATACGAAATGCAGTTACTAACACAAAAACAGAGAGACAATGAAATAATTACATAATAATTGCACACATAAAAAAGTGGGTTTGTCAAATTCGATTTGTTAGCTGTTGCTGCTGTTGCTATTTGTCCATGCCATAGCATAGACAGCCTTTAACTATTTAGGCTTCTAGATTAAAATAAAACTATCACCTTAAACATTAAAAATCTTTTTGTTACTTACCCTATTCGTCGGCCAATGTCCGCTGAAAATAAAAGGAGGATAATTGATTGTTTACAAGTGGATAAACGAAGAAATAAAAGGCAAATCATTTTTACTTTTGTATTAACATTAGCGAGAAATCCAACATTTTGAAATGGATTGAGTTTGCGTCCTGCCCTCTTCTGATGTTATTGTGCTCGTCCATAATTATCTTGAGCGATATTCATCATTTATATGTATTCGGTCTTAATTTTTTCTTTAATTAGTAGAAAATGTCCAAGGTGTTTTAATGAACTTAGTCGTCATTTTCGCATCGTTATCATTCTGCGTTGTCATTTCCAACACGCTTACTACTAACCATATCACCACCACCATCAGTATTACTATCGTCATTACCATTATCATCATAATAATCATTATTTACGTCATCATAATCATCATCATCATCATAATCACCATCATCACCACCATCATCACCATCATCATCGTCACCATCATAATCATCATTATCATCATCATCATCATTGTATTCAACATAATAATTATAAACAATAGTCATCATCATCATTATCATCACTATCACCATCATCATCATTACCATCACTATCATCACCGTCATCATAGTCATGAACATCGTCATCATGATGACAATCATAATAATCATCATCATAATCATCGTAATCACTATCATAATCATCTTAATCACTATCATAATCATCGTAATCACTATCATAATCATCATCACCACCAACATCATCACTATCATCATCATCACCACCACCATCATCATCATCCCCATCATCATCATCATCATTATCATCATCGTCATCAACATCATCAATATAATCACTATCATCATCACTATTATCACCATCACCATCATCGTCGTCGTCATCATAATCATCAGCTAACGTTCTGAAAGCTTACCTATCGCCTCATCTATTTGCTCATGAGAAAGCTTAAACCCAAGAACTCTCAACGCCCTCCGGAGATCGAAAGCATCGATGTAACTTTTTAACGGAGAGAGGAATGATAGTTTAGTGACAATGATAAAGATATTATGATAGTATTGCACATTATTGGCCCTGAGTTTTTCAACATTCAAGTTCATTGTCCATATTATAACAACACAGATTTTTTTCAGTGGGTTTTATATGCATTATGCAATTCAGTTTAGACAAAATATTATATCGTGTGCTGATAGTCAAAATCGTATATTAAAGGGGAAGTACACCCTGATATTAAGTTGGTTTCAATAGATGAAGACAAATGAGAAAAATATAGCTAAAACCGATTAAAAGTAGGAATCCTGAGGATTATTGTTGTTATATTTCTTATAGGCTACAGGGGCTACAGGCCAACCAGTGATTCATAAGTATATGGACATTTATCATCAAATACAATGATCATGCCAGGGGGGGGGGGGGGGGCATTTAAAAAAACTTGTCATCAGTGACAAATGACAGTTTTTGCTAGAAGCTACTGAAATCCTTGCTTCTGGTTGGTTATCAGCAGATTTGTCACTGATTTTTTTTTTGTCATTTGTCATTGAAAAAATGCTTTGTGAAACGGGCCCCAGACATAAATCGATTTCTTATTTCTCCATTGGTGACTTACCCCTTCCTGTCTTTATCAAAGGTGTCAAACACCATCCTCAGATCACGGAGCTCCTGCGCGGTGAATTGACACGTGAGGGCGGGGTTTATCTCGGCCACGTGATCTCTCCGTTGCTCCAATGAGTGAAGGAGATTGCTGGCCACGCCCACTCGCCCGTGAGAGGAGGCGGAGGATGATGGTGCGGCCATTTTGGATGAGGCGCCGTTTGCAAATGAAGTTGAACCTCGCGGACCAACCCCTGAAGACATCTGGGGGAAAAACATGGGGAAAAAACACTGTTGACACCAATCTGTGCGTTTGTTGTTCATTTGTTTTGTTGTTTGCCTGTCTGACTTGTCTGTTTTTGCTTGCTCGCTGGTTGGAATTTTTTGACAAAGTTGTCATAAAAATGTGGCTCAACGCGACCATTCATTATTTCATTACAAAATTATAGCAATGCCTTCTGTTCCGATTTACATTCAGCAAAATATTTTAGTAAAAGGAAACTTTATGTTTGAAAGTGGTTTAAAATATCATAGGCATTAGTAGGAGCGATTTTCTAGATTATGGTAAAACTAATGCATTCCACTATACTTTCAGATAAAAACTGAAACAGATTTTAAAATCATTTCTCATATAATTTTCACTGATTTTGATACATGATTCCATCTGCATGATTCTCATGTCAAATTTTCGTTTCACTTTTGTTCATGACCAATCAATACCGGATCGACGTGAACAAGAATGGATTAAAATCAATATAAAATGTATAATGCAGATATGGGTGCTCTTTTTTTGCCCCAATGGACAAACGTAATCTAGTGTAATTGTAAACTCTTTCAAATATAATGTCTCATTTTAGAATCGTCGTAAGTCCAGTTACAATAATAACTTGTATAGGCTTCATGATAACTGTTTGTCTATTAATTCATCAACGCCTTGAAGATATTGTAATCTCATATCATTATAATAAAACTGTGCGGTCAAAAATAAGCATATTTAAGCCCACATCGGCCTGTCACTAATAAATCGAACATCGGACTTATTTTCTTATTCTTTATAGCTAATTAACATGCAAAAGAGCTACAATTTACTTACCTTTTTATCGATGACTGTCCCTAGAGATGGCAGAAAAAAGTGAACGGTTTTTCTTTCCTCCTTCTTCTTCAATTTCTAGTCGTGTAGAGTTGATTATTCCAGACTGCAGACAATTGCCGACGTCCAAAGTTCACGAAAACACTTGATACATCTCGACGGTGATAATTATCGCCACAATAGCAACAGCGTTGTTTCTGAAGAAGGAGTAAGCCTGCAAAGATTTTAGAATTTCTCCTCTGTATATTGTTTACAAAATCTTGAGACAATTTCGTCTGTTCAGCCACAACTTAATCAAAGCAATAACCAATTAACAAGCAAGAGAGCTGCATTAATATCGACACAACGTACAACACAATGCATACAAATTTTGTCAGAAACAATGAACGAAGCTTTCTTGAAACAGGTGTATAGTGTAATTAACCAGCCGTCTTTTAATTATTGTTGCCACCCGCAGTACACACTGACAGTGTATTAGCTGCAAGACGCACACTCATACGCTTTGGGGTTGTATTTGTACGCCTTAGGCTGTTGTCTGAGATCGAGTATTTGATTAAAAGATAATGATTTACTCGGTGGTGGAGTTTAACATCCTTTGGCGCATTCATGATACTATTTCTTGGTCTCTCGTCCATATTTCACTAATATCTTTTTGATAATTATGTCATCTTATCAGACTTTAACCTATCTTTGTCAATATGGTTATATCACATTTCGTGTCTCTGGATTTTTCTTTCTTTCTTACATTAACATCCTCTCTTTACATTTTCTCTTCCGTCTTCCGTTGTTACTCTTTTTTAAAACTTTGCTCTCTTGTTTTTTTTTCTATTTTGGAGAAGAAGATTATATTGTCTTCTATTGTTTGTCCTTTTTTTTTGTCTCTGTTATAATCTTCTAAACGTATCGGTGCTTCATTTAACGATTGAAATAACAGTAGTTCGGTACTTGTATTCTTTGAAAATTGATAAATTAAACAATCTATGATTCTGATATGCGTATCTTTCTTCACATTAGACTTAGACAGGGACACACATTAATGAAAGAGGGAGAGGAAGATTTATACAGTCAGACAGGCAGAAAGGGAGACAGAGATACACAGGGAGAAGAGAGAGAGAGAGAGAGAGAGAGAGAGAGAGAGAGAGAGAGAGAGAGAGAGATAAGCTTTGCTAGCTCAAGCTACCATCTTACCAACGATGACACTTCAATATTTGATCAACTCGGGAAATATTTGCACTTCGTCCTTTTCTCAGCTTCATTGTTCTCCGTCTCTCCTACACAAATAGAAACTGAGATGTGTTTTCAAGATGACCCCATTGTTGTGCGCTAATGATGCGTCACTGTTTTACAAAGAGTTTACAGGCCTCTTTCAATTCAATACATGAAACATGACATCTGATATATCCTCATACAGAGAGAGAGAGAGAGGGGGAGGGAGGAAGGGAGGGAGAGAGAGAGAGAGGGGGAGAGAGAGAGATAGGGAGGGAGAGGGGGAGGGGGAGAGAACGAGAGGGAGAGAGACAGGGGCGGATCCAGCCGGCGGCAGAGGAGTGGGCCCAATCCTTGAGAAAATATTTAGCGGCGAACCACCCCCCCCCCCCTTGAGCGTCAGGAATTTGCCATTTTCCAACAAACCCATAAAAAGTATAATTTACTAAAGATTGAGAAATATCTCGGAAAATCATGTCATTTGAGCAACATTTGTAAATCACCGGTATAGAATTAGAAATAAACCAAGTTTGACTTATTTTGGGGGAATCTGTCACCCCCCCCCCCCCCCCACGATCTACACCTTTTTTGCGGGAAAAATCGCAACTGATCTCCCCTACCTTTCTGCTTTCTCTTTTTGGTTTTGTTTCCCTTTCTCTCCTCTTTTTTCTTTCCCTTCCCTTCCTTCTCTCGGTTTTAGGTTTGCTGGGGGAAGGCAAGGGGCCTTTCGCCCCCCCCCCCCCCCGATCCACACGTTGCTGGCGGGATTAATCGAAACTGTTCTCTCCTTCTTTTCATCCTTTTCTTTCCTTCTTCCTCTCTTTTGCTCCGTTTTAGCTCTCCTCTCTCCCTTTCCCTTCCAAGGTCCAAGGGCCTTTTGCCCCCTCCCGAACTACAACTTGCTGACGGAAAATTGCAACTGATATCCCCCTTTTTCTCTTTTCTTCTTCCTCTTTTTTCCTTCCCTTTATCTCCTCTTTTCCTTTTTATTTCCCTTTCATTCCTTCTCTCTTATTTTGTGATTGGGAGGGGGGGGGGGGGGGGAGTAACAGCTGGGAGGCAAAGCCCTTTCGCCCCCCCCCCCCGATCTCCTTCTTTTCCCCCTTTTCTTTTCTTCTTCCTCTTCTTTCTTTTCCTTTCCTTTCTTTTCCTTCTCTCTTTCTCTCTCTTTCTTTTTTTTGCCGGGGGGGGGGGGGGGGGGGGGTCAAGGCCAACTCGGCCCCCTGGATCCGCGCCTGTATGGCGGTAGGTACAAAAGTATACATGTGCCTATAGCCAGACGGCCCTATACATACCCATAATTTTATTAAACGAATTCATTTGCACTTTCTTCTTGCACATCCCCCTCAGACACCCCCCCCCCCCCCCCCCCCCCCTGCGTGGCGCGCCCATTCGCCCTCCTAACAAAATAACCTGGCGCCGCCCCTGATAGCAACGAACAAGAAACTCCCTTGTCGTTGACGATCAGCCGTGCATGAAGTTCAGAATCTGCCCGGTCCACTTTCAAGCCGTTGAAGATGGCGTTATCAACAAACTCATAATTATGCTCACCAGCCTGATCACGCCATCATCGGCTAGTAGCAAGTATAAGTAGGGAGAGGTAGCGTTGATGTACGTGGTGGATATCAAAATTAAATACCGTGCATGAAGTCTTTCGTCTTCTTTCTTGTTGGGGGCTTGGGGTAGACAGCTAGTGAAACGGATTCGTTCAATAAAATTATGGAAATGCAAGCATTACTTTAAACAAATAGAACTTTGTTATTCCTGTCTCATTTTTCCTGATTGAGGTGTCAAAGGGTAGAAAATGAACTCTCCAGAAATGTGATTTTCTCTTTGAAATTCAGATACCGTTCGCCAAATGAGTTGTTGGTACCCTTTCTTTAAATTGTTTTTAATCACTCATGCGTGAAATATGGATCATATGAATTGCATCAAATGAAAGAGAAGGATCAAAGTTTTACAAATATGTGTCATTTATTAATTATAATTGTGATTAAGTTATGATAAAACATCGATAATTCTCGGTTTCGTTTTTTCTGGGACGCACTGTACAATTACGAGTGTATAAAATGGTATTTTATAATCTATTCTCAATCAAACTATATACAGAGCAGATTTTAAATTACTGTATATTACAAATTCATTTCTTCATTCTTTTTCTTTTCATTTCTTTTTTATACAAAATATAAAGTATTAATACCTGAACAATATCGATTTTTTTTTCTTCTTCTTCCTATTAGCAAAATGTATGCAAACATAACCTGAACAAGCTAAAAGTAGTCAGATGACTTTTCCTTCTAAAAAGCACGTGATTAAAAACAAGATTTTGATTTTTTTTTCAACAAGATAATACATACAATAAAAACCTGATTGTTCTAAACTTAATAGTCCTTAGTCATTATATAATTATGAGTGTCATTAAGCAGATTTTGAATTTCCTTAACAGAGTAATGTATGCAGACAAAACCTAGACAACATACACGTACAATATCTTATCATTAACAGGCGCGGATACAGGGTGGGGGGGGGGGGCAGCGGGCCCTCAGCTGCCCCCCCCCCCCACCCTGGCCAAAACAAGGAAAAACATAATTAATTGTGACTACAAATTTTCCTCTCTTTTTTTTAGCTCAAGGGGGGTGGGGGGGGGGGGGGTGTTGAGCGAAGAAATCCTGGATCCGCGCCTGGTCATTAAAAGCCTAAATCAATGTGTTAGATGTCACATAGAATGTGGAAGCTCATGTTTGTCACGACAAATACAAACCAACACAAATACATGTAGACAAAAACAAACATAAATAAACGGCAAAAAAGCAAACAAAAAGTCTCACACACATCACTACAAAACACATATATCGATGGATCTTCCCGCCCTCGCACCTTCCCCTCAAAATATGAATGAAAATAAATAGAAATATAAAATGAAATGTTTAGCGTCTTCAATGTGTTCAACTATATAGATGACAATTACACACAAAGTGGTTAGTTGTTTGTTCCTGGTCTTGCTTTTCCCCCCTTTTTTCAGGTTTTAACTGTCTTATTGCTATCTCTTATATATACATATATATTTATTTACAAGAGAGTATTAAGTTATGCTCGGAGTTCGAGGGCAACATTTTATAATAACATTTTCTTCTTGTACGGAGGATCATTAGTTCTTCTGTTTTCCATGCATATAACAATTCATTCAATTTTGAAAATCCTCCGTCACAGTAAATCCAAATTCAAAAATAACTTTTTGAAAACCGTAGAAGATATGAAATATACGAATTTCCTAATTTGATAATAATAATAATAATAATAATCCGTTTTTTTATATAGCGCTCAATACACCGATCCAACGATGTGCCTTAGCGCTTTACAGATATATTATTACCCCGGTCATCAAATTCAGGCTTACCCGCACAAAATATGTGCACATTTTCCACTCCCTGGGGAGCATTCCAGCCAGTCGCCATTTTACAAGCGCACACTTTCTCGTCAAGTTTGTTAAATTTAATCAAATCCAACGTTGTTATTCTTAAATATATATTTAAAGTTTAGGGCTTTAATTGAGGTGAAGGTCTAACAGATAGGTATAAAATGTTAAAATATTACTATAATGATTAATATATACAAATTTAAATTAGGCCATATCATGTCCGAAATTAGCTTTTAAAATATGTTTCAGGAAAGAGAACATTCTTTAAAGACCGTCAATACTACTGGGCCAGAAGGGATTAGACCACACAGCGAGGTCACTGAAAGGTGGCTATCTCATTAACTCAGCTCTCAACTAAGATAAGAAAAAGAGGATCATGGGGGGGGGGGCCAACATGCACCGATTTGGGAAGTTTTCTATATAGAGGGAGCAAGTAGCTATAAGTGGGGCTTTAACTCACATTAAATGTTTGTAAGACATATCTAACGATTTCCAATTCAATAATAAGGCATGCGAGATTGTAGGCTAATCTGCTCCGGCATTCACTTCTCCACTCTCTTCTTTATCTGGCCCCGGTCCCACCTTTTTCTCCCACCTCTGCTTTTTCTTAGCCCACTTCTTCTCCCTCTTCTCCTTATCGGCGTAACCAATCTTCATGCCCAACGCGGAGAGGGCCAACCCTTCCGAAGTGTCGACGCCAGTGCCGAATATCTCTGCTTCCACGCTGGTGACAGTCCATGTCAACTTTGTGTTGAAAGCGAGACCAACCGTGCAGAGGATGACCCCAATCATGTAGTTGGCGCTGCAGAGCTCGAACGTGCAGTCCGTGACGATAGTCGGGAGTTGCGCGCAATTCATGACGCAGCTCACGTTGGGGCCCACGTACTCGGCCATGACCTTCCCGTCCATGTACTCCTTGGAAACGCTGCCGACTCCAGCCGTTGCCGACACGCAGCCCTCTTCGCTGAAGAGCTTATCGGGATCGATCTTGATCTCCGCGCTCGGACCTTTCTCTAATTCAAACGAAGATTCCATGTCGTCATCGTCGCCGTCGTTCTTCTTCGGTTGTTGCGTCACCACCTCCTCATTATTCTGTGTGAGATGGAGAGAGTTAGATTGAAATTAACGAAATATGTAAGATATAGAAGAATAGAGCTGTTGAGGTTGAACATTTTGAAAAATAGAAAGGGGCATAGGCTAGCTTTGCCCCCCCCCCCCCCCCGCGCGCTTATTATCACATTGTAACAATACACAATACCTCTCCGACCACTGAGAATTTGATCTGAACTTTATAAGTATTGATTCCACCCTTGTAAATAAGAATGGAATACTGTCTTTGGCACTGCATATATGATTACTATTACTCATTCATCATCATTAAACTTTTATCTGATAGAAATTGTTAAATCTCCTCAAAATCTTTGATTTCTTAGCTACATATTTGTTCTATTTATTGATCTTCTAAGCATACTTTGTTCATGCTATATTGTAAAACTGCATCTGAGGAACTAACACTTCATCAAGTTCTGCTTCAAGTTAGTTCCTCTTTTCTCGTGCTTTTCTATGATGTTTGTTGTTTCATTGCATATTTTTTTATATAATTATTCATTGCATTATGTTTTGCAAGAGAACAAAAATCATTTGAATTGAATTTGAATTGATACCAAAACTTGATAATGTACTTTTGGATCATCCAGTTCAACATTTCTTGAATGTAATCATGACGATTCACTCTTTTCATTCATTGATTCATTCATTTCATTTCCATTGATTCATTCATTTCATTCCGATTGAATAATGGTTTTGTTCCGATAATACTTCGCAGGTATAAAGGTAATCTAGTTCTAGACCCTTTTATTGAATTTTGTTATTAGCCGACTATAAGCGTTAAGCCGAGTGATGGCGGGATCCTTAGTGACGGCGCGATCCCCGAGAACTGGTCCGGAAATTACCGAGCGGTTCGAGCGGTTCTCGGGGATAGCGCCGTCACTAAGGATCGCGCCATCACTCGGCTGAACGCTTATAGTCGGCGAATAACAACAATCAATAAAAGGGTCCAGAACTAGACTACTATATAGGCTCGACTGCGCATGTTCAAAGGGATTCCTCAAAAAGGCCTATTTCACATTGCATCTTGTCATTTACATGATTAACAACTTCATTCAAAATGGCATAGATTATTATACTTTAGAATACAATGATTCAGGACTAAATGTATATAAACATGACAATTATAGATGATGAATATACTTATTTATGAATGTATTCTTCATCGCATTATGCACTCTGTCTGCCTAAAATATGCAATAGAAGACAAAATACTCATTTAAATATAAACTGTTTAGTGATACATCAGGAAAGGTTTCTTCTCCTTATTCTTTCTCTTCTTCTTCTTCTTCTTCTCCTTTTTCCCCCTTTTTTTCTTCTTCTTCTTCTTCTTTTTCTTTTTCTTTTTCTTCTTCTTTTCTTCTTCTTCTTTCTCTTCTTCTTCTTTTTCTTCTTCTTTTTCTTCATCTTGTTTCTCTTCTTGTTTCTCTTCTTCTTCTTCTTTCTCTTCTTCTTCTTCTTCTTTTTCTTCTTCTTTTTCTTCTTCTTTCTCTTCTTCTTCTTGTTCTTCTTCTTTTGTTTTCTTCCTCTTCTTCTTCTTCTTTTTCTTCTTCTTTTTTCTTCTTCTTCTGGCTTCTTTTCTTGAGCATTTATCATTTTAATTTAGATTTTAGTCAAAGAACAACCTCTAATTGTACCCCTTTTGGCAGGGAACTTTATTAATACAGTAGTCAGGCACAAGCCATAGTATACACATAGCTGTTAGGTAGGAATGGTGGGCACGAGCGCCCCCTCCCATCAAATGACGATAGAGAGAGAGAGAGAGAGAGAGACAGCGAGAGGGAGAGAGAGAGAGAGAGAAACAGACAGATCAGAAAAACAAAAATTAAGCTACAGATCGAGACAGAAACAGAGACAGAGAGAGGGGTGGGGAAGAGAGAAAGAGAGAGAAATCATAGAGAAGAAATGGAAAAGAATGAACCAACAAAGAACACCATACAACTCCTTCCGTACCCTATCCCCATAGCCTATCCGATATGCGTCGGGCTTACGGAGAGTGACATCGGCGTGGGCGTCAGCCCGAAGCGCCTATCATCTTCACTGGTGCATGCGAAAAGTTTTATTTTCTTTTATGTACCGTGTTTAGTTCGTAGAAAATCTACGAACCCCCTGTAAAGCTCTTTCATGAATATTTATGAAGCATGGACCAAAATAGGCCAATGAGCGATGGGGAACCTGGAGATGATATTTGATTGGTTGAATCAAAGTGATCGATCACCAAATAAGGCTAGTCTTATGAATCATGCATGAGAATACGCTCGTCACACATACGATACACATATATGAATAATGATGAGTTGACCAGTGATGATAGGCGCTCGCTCCGATGTCAGTCTCCATAACGCAATTAGTACACTTGCCGTTTAGCCCGGCGCCTATCGGATAGGCTATATCCCCACAAACCAATGGCAATGTTCTCTCACATTTCTTCCATCTAGTTTGAATGACCCCCCCCCCTCCCCCCCTCCCCCCTCCCCCCCTCCCCTTATGCTATAAAATTACCCCAGATTTCCGACTGGAATCGTGAATTGCCACTGCAAACATAATTATAAAATATGTTCAAGATACAGAATATGTTGACGAAATATAACATTAAATGAATTGCATATAAACAACATGTAGTCATGTTTCGTTAATCGTGTAAGATGACAAAGATTCAATCAAGGGATTTTCCAGAATCGTGAAAAGAATTACCATCGAAAATTAATTTTCCCATTATGTCTTCAGAAGGCAAAATTGTAGAATAAAAAATGATGTGAGTTTCAAAAAGAAAACATTAAGGTGAATGTAAATTTTGTATTCGAACCATCCTAAATTGATAAGGTACTATGACCTTTTGTTACGGTAAATAATCATCATATGTTTTGATGAAATTAAGAAGAATATCAAGAATATATCGCCAAATATTAAAGAAATAGAATATACCTCAAACAGAGTTTGTTAGAACACAGATTCAGGATAAACTGATATTCTTTATGTTATAATGAGAAAGATGAATTCGACAAAATATTGTGGTACGGTATGTGTCACTGAAACAGCTCCCGTAGGATTTTTTGTGCCAAAGTTGATTTTTTTTTTGTTGCATTTTTGGATTCATTGGGGTCCAAGCTATCAGAAATTGATGGGGTTCAAATTTTCCCGAAAACACCAAGTTTCCCTATTGCGCGTTATATAAGCCATTTTGGCGCCCAATATGGACCCCCCCCCCCCCCCCCCGCCCCCCAGGAAATGAAGGAAGGGTCTGAAAATTTGAACCCCATCATTTTTGGCTAATTGGGACCCTTTTGAAGCCAAAACGTACAGCAACAAAAAAAATCAACTTTGGCAAAAAAATCCTACGGGATTACATACCATACCGCACTGAAATGTTCGTTTGAGTTTCACGAATGAGATCGATCATTATATAAAGAGACTTTAAAGGTAATACAAAGTTTTGGTATGGGGTCATGAATTTGATTCAAATGAACATATTGGAAGCATATTATGCGATCCTTCAATATTGAGTGATCGTTGTCGCGGTTAAAATCAAGTCTAAAGTCATGAAATTGTTAATAATAAACTCTTCATGTTGTATAGCTCCCATGAAAACTACATATTCTGATATTTTCATGGTCGCAGCTACCATTATACGGCCGTAGGCGCTATTTGAAATTTATCAAAATTTACTGGGAGCACCGGTACATTTTTATATTCAATTTTTCTCGAAAGCAGACATGTTTTAGGGGCTAAATTTTCTAGTGCTTATAAAGCATCCACATGGGCATCCAAATATATCAACATTGTAATGAATCACTATCCACCCAATTTTCAAAATTTCCCAAACTTTGTATTACCTTTAAATAGTTGTAACAAATATAGCTATTGGTTGAGCATATCAAATGGACAAAAAGAGTAGGACCTAGGTACCTGCGTATCTTCACCAGTATCTGGGTCTTCTTTCATAAGTGGTCCTTGGCCATTTTCAGTTTGATCAGAGGTAACGTTTGTATCAGCCGTCTGGTCCGCCATGATTTTCAGGTAAATCTGCGGGGGAGAACAATAAATTAGGGAGCAAAGCAACGATAATTACATTTTCTTTCATAAATGTAATGCTTCCTGGAAGAAATTTCAATTATTTAAACATATTTGTGGCTTATACCTGGTAGATGCAGGTTCATGTCCCGCTGGTTCCAAGATTTTTTCAGAATTGTTTTTCAATACAGATCGATCAATCGATCTTATTTACTGGGTTTAAGCCACAAATACATTTCTTGTTCAATATTTTGAACCTAAAAAAAAAAACGGTATATTTAGTATCATGAGTATTAAGGGGGGGGGGGGGGTGCGCGGGAAATCTCGAGTTCTTGAAGCAACCCGAGCTTTAGAACATTTCTAATCTTATACCCTCATGAAGCTCATTTCACAGGCAATTTACCCAGCTTATTGAGAGCGCATACAATTCTTAATATGATCATAATTTTTCTTACTTTTCTCTCCTAACTCTTTCTTCCTTTTTAAATGTTTTTTTTTCTAAATACTGCCGGGGCACGCCCCCCCCCCCCCTTGTCCTGGTAGATACACAACCGGATATGGGCTAGAATTAGTCATTTGAACCCCAGGTGGGGGTGCTCAGCTTTCGTTTGGACGGGGGTGTGCCACTGAAGCCTCGACACGCCTTTCCATATTAGGGTCATTTTGGCAGATTTTTTTTCGAAATAAAGGCCCATTTTCACAATTTTCGAAAAACAGACCCGTGTTTAGTGATATTTTAATTTGTAAAAAAATGGCACTCACGTTTAGGGAGTTTGTTTTGGGGGAAAAAATGACCCATTAGAGCGGCACATCCCCATATGTCGTGTATACCCCCCCCCCTCCCCCTTCTGGGATTTGAACACGATGACATCATTTCAATCAAAAACTTTAACAAAAAATCAAATTGATGGCCTAAGAACAAAATGAATAAATCATGAAAGACAAAAGGCCGTCTTTAAAAGAAATGTCCGATACACTTTTTTTGTGTGCATGAACGTATAAAATCAGTTTTTCTTCCCCAATGCGTCTCTTTATTTACAGAGGCAGGCATATAGTTCAGAAAAAAATATCTGCAACGTCTTTACAAAAAAAAGTAATATGCTGACCCTTACAAAAAAGTACCATGGTAACCATGTTTTTTTGTCCAAATTACCATCCACCATGGTAACCATGGTTATCATGGTACCAAAACAATAAAATACATTGGGTCATTAAACAATGTATTTCATTGTTTTGGTACCATGGTACTTTTGATAAGAAAAGAATAGAAAATAATGAAATCGCTTTGAATAAACATATCATTTTAGGAATTCAAATAATACTCACAGGATGAGACTGGATTCAAGAGCAGTCAATAATCCTCTTCCTCATCTAAGGAAGTCCAACAACTGAATGAAAGACAAACTGATACCAGGGACCCGTTTCACAAAGCCTTTTTTCAATGACAAAGGATACAAATCAGTGACAAAATCTGCTGATAACCAATCAGCAGCAAGGATTTCAGCTTATAACGAAAACTGTCATTTGTCACTGATGACAAGTTTTGTGAAACACCCCCCTCCCCCCCCCCCCCCCAGATCGCTTTTGATGCGAGACACGACTGTATATAAATCTAAAAATAAATGACGTCCCGTTTCAGTTAATGCACTTTGTAATGTATTCCCCCTCCCCTTCCCTTCTCCTTTTTTTTTCTTCATCCCCCTTTTGTATTGGTGTTTAGGTTTTCTATGCTTTTCATTTCTCAACAATTAATACAGTGTATATTTGTTAAGGGGTTGACGTTCATTATGGCCCGGTCACACAGAGACGACGCACGGCCGGCGCATTGAAAATCGGGAAAAAAAGTCGTGGGCCCGACTTTTGTCAGAATTTGGGAGAAGCTAGCGAGCTGACAACGAATGCATAGCGTGTAGCTAGCGCGCTGCGCGTATACGGGGCGTGTGCTCCGCGTATGTCTGGCGTTGGCCTAGCGCTCTGCGCATGTCTGGCGTCCCTTTGGCGTGTTCATCCATGCGTCGAGCTCCGCGCACATTTTTGAGCATGCTCAAAAAAATCCGACGCACACAGCGAATGACGACGAATGCATAGCGTTGGTCCAGCGTTGGTCCAGCGCGCTCGACGAATGAGTAACGAATGATGACGCACACCTAGCGAACGACAACGCACTGGCCAAAATTGCAAATTTCCAATGCGTTGGCCGTGCGTCCCCCATGCGTCCCCTCTGTGTGACCGGGCCTTAACGCAAATTGCCCTTTTTGTTAACCCCACATTCCCATACAATTTTTTTTGCTCCTTCCCTTTGTATTTTTCCTGTTATCGATCTTTATCTGTATTTCATGTTTGTATGTTTCAATGTTGTTATGGAGAATGAAATAAATGAAATGAAAATGAAAATAGAGCGTTGTATTTTATTCAATCGCACAATGCCGAGCTGTCATGAATGGTGTGCGCTCGGGAGGCTCATTTGCAGGAGTGTCTTGGTCGAGTGGTTTAAGGCGCTTGACTGGAAATGCGAAGGTCGAGGGTTCGAATCCCGACACGGCACTAATATCCTTTGGCAAGATATTAACATCCACTTGCTACTCTCCACCCAGGTGTTAAATGGGTACATGGTAGGATGCGACCGTCATTGTTGGTTAAACAGTTTTTGAGCGTCAAGTAACGCCTGGCTGGTATGCTCCCCAAGGAGTTGAGATTGTGCACACAGTATGTGCGGGCAAGCACTGAATCCAATGACCGGGGTAATAGTATATTTGTGAAGCGCTTAGAGACATTTGTATTAAGCGCTATATAAAAATCAAATATTATTATTAATAAACGGCGGGGATCGGGAGCCTCAAGCTCCATCCTCCCCCCCCCCCCCCCACACTTTTTTTGAAAAAGTATATTAAAGAGAAATAGAAGAAAAAAAAGAGATCAAGAAAGAAAGAATTTCGAGTGCTCTGCCCCCTCGACCCCACCAGGGGTCCTAAGGCGGGCCCCTGAATGCTTATCTGACCGTAATTCCTAAGTTGACCGCAGGCGCGTAGCCAGGGGGCGGTGGGGGCGGTCGCCTTCCAAAACGCCGGCCAAAGAAAAAAAGAAAGAGAGGACAAGGATTAAGAGTCGAGAACGGTACAACGAGTTGTGTTCTTTCTCTAATAATTTAATGAAACGTCAAAGCTTCCGCGCTTCCCGCGGGAGGGGTGGGGGGAAACTAAATTCAGACAAGGATTTACAGTCGAGTACGGTACAACGAATCGTCTTCTTTCTCTAATAATTTAATAAAACGTAATAGCTTCGCGCGGGAGGGGGAGGGGGAAAACTAAATTCCGACGAGGATTAAGATTCGAGTACGGTACAACGAATCGTTTTCCTTTACTATTTTAATGAAACGTCAAAGCTTCCGCGCTTTGCGTTGGAGGAAGGGGAAAACTCGCTCCTCCCTACACCCACCCCCCCCCCCCCCCTCACCCCTAGGAAGCGCGCTACGCGCGCTCTGTAAGTGATTCGCACGCTTTACGTGCTCACTACCGTCCCCCTAAAATAAAATGCTTGCTACGTGCTTGTCTGCCCGTAACTAAACGCTGAAAACCCTGAGCTTCCGGGGGCTCAGCCCCCTGGACCCCACGCCAATTAGTGACCTGACAGTGTCAAAAATAAGATATCAAAATATGCTCATCTGACCGTAATTAAATACCTAAAACCCCTGAGCTTCCATTGGCTCTTCCCCTGGACCCTACCAGGGGGCCTAAGGCGGGCCCCTGAATGCTTATCTGACCGTTATAAAATGACTCAAATCCCCTAGTTTGAGTGGGCTCAGTCCCCCTGACCCCACGCCAATTAGTATCCTGCCAGTGTCACAAATATGGTATCAAAATATGCTCATCTGACCGTTAATTAAATACCCATACCCATCTGAGCTTCCAGGGGCTCCGCCCCTTAACCTCCGTCGGGCCTTTGCCCCTAGATCCCACGCCAATTCACGCTACGCTCTACCTGATCGTAAATACTTTAGTCTCCCCTCCCCCACCCACTTTGAAAAACGTTCAGCGGGGCCTGCATGTAAGAGAATGGGGGTAGTGCGGATTTTTTTGTCTGCCCCCTGACGTGTAATGTTATTCTGAATGTATTTTTAACAATCTTTTTAAATATATATACAATATTTTAAAATACGAGTTATCACTTTATTATGTCAACATGTAAACATGAATAATCCAGCTTCTGCTGCTTTTCATGTAAAATGACAATTACGATGCATGTATTTTGAAATAACATGATAAACCATTATTGAATTGAATTGAATTGAATTGTTATTAGTCTGCTGGGAGTTCACTCCACAATACAAATAGCTTTGTCGCATGGGATAGGTGGAATGGACTAAATAAATCATAGCAAAATAAAAGAAACCGATAGCTCACGTTTTGTGAGTTGGATGTATCTACAGTATATAAGTAGAATAATTGATATTGTTAATTATTGTCAATTCCAATCCATCCAATCAAAAGATATTTGATATAGCACCTTTTCCTTGCAGTCACAAAGCGCTGCACACACGCTCCAAAATGTTTGGGCCACTTAAAGTCCCACTGTCCTACTTGTCTCTACTTGCTCCCTCTATATAGAAAACTTCCCAAATCGGTGCCTGTTGGTCCCCCATGATCCTCTTTTTCTTATGTTAGTTGAGAGCTGAGTTAATGAGATAGCCACCTGTCAGTGACCTCGTCGTGTGGTCTAATCCCTTCTGGCCCAGTAGTATTGACGGTCTTTAAAACAAAAGTTAGACACTTCTCAGAGATCAGTAAAGTATAGTATTATGTAGGCTGGTAATAAAGTAATTTCTAGCAGAATAGATGTGACTTGAGTAGTTTCTTGAACTGGTCAACAGATGAGGCCGTCTGCACAGCAGTAGGTAGTTGGTTCCACAGTTTTGCAGCAACCGATGGAAAAGACAATTCACCAGCACGTTTCTTAGAGAGACACTGAGTGAGCCAGATGGATGATGATGAGCGGGTATTTCGGACTCGAGGACGACGGACCAAGCATTCAGCTATGTACGGGGGACATCAGTGGTTGAGAGACTTGAATACCAGTAGTAGGATCTTAAAAGCTATTCTCTGTCGTACAGGCAGCCAATGCAGTTCAAATCGAAGAGGTTGTATGTGAGTCCGAAGAGGAGCAGAATTAGTGTTAATTATTCTAATAGTTCGTTTTTTTTTGTATATTGGATAAGGTTGATTGATGAGCAATTTAGAACTATTCCTCTACTCATTAGTTCTGAAGTAAAACAAAACAAATAAAACCTAACAGCAACAAACAAAGAAAAAAAAGAAGAAAAGTCCATAATTGTCATCTCTTTAAGTAAAAAGTCACGGATATCTATATGAACATTTACAAATGAGAATATGGGAGATTTCAAAAGATTATTACGCCAGAATCTTTGCGCGGAATAATGTCCAATTAATAAGACGTGTTCACAATTTTATCTCACGTCACATAAGAAAAAATACACTGAAGAAATAGGAAGAGTTGATGATGATGATGACGATGATGATGATGATGATGATGATGATGATGATGATGATGATAATGATGAAAAAAAGTAGGAGAAGAAGAAGAAGAAGAAATAGCAAGTAAGCAAAGACAGAAAGACGGACAAAAAAAAGGGGGAACGAAGAAGTTTGCAGGCCTATTCTAATATTTTCCACTCATTTAGAATGAATAGATATAATGGTAAACCCCCATCAACCCCCGCTAGATTGGTAGAGTGAGGGCTAAGTAATGTATAACTTCCTGTGTGGTAAAACGAGACAATGCAGTAAGTGGCATTAGGAGCAATTCTCTATTATTATGTGCTCAGATTTAGTATCATTAATACAGATGATGTTTTTCTTTACTAAAAGTTTAGTCGTATTGAATGAGCAAATAATAAAGAAAGAAAAGGAGTAAGCAGACCCGAACGTTTCCCACAAAACGATATTTCATATGATTTGTTTGCGAATTTGCTTTCAGTCGATATTTAAAAAAAAAAAACTCTCCCAGGTGCATAGGGGAACCGACAGGGGAACCCCCTCACATCCCCTAGAAAGTTTTTGTCATTATACCTGATTAAAACAAGTTCACATTGTAAAGCGCAGAGTGGTAAAACGAGACAATGCGCTTATTATTATTATTTGGCGTCACATGTGCCTGGGAGGTGAAAAACGGAACTTGTTCACTATATTAAACCGTCGGGTCTCCGCATCTCGGTATAACTGACTGGGGTTTGCAGGGGGACCACGGGGTTTCCCCCTTCTCTTATACGAATAGTGCATGCAGTGGGTTCGGCAAAGGTGGTGACTCTCCTTTACATAATAGGGCCTCCATTCAACGTCCTGTCCGAGGCACAGGCATCAAGCGCAATAGTGGCCTATTTTGT